CTGTTATATCCCTGACACATGGAACCTGTGGTGCCTAGCCTCAACACTTCCCTCTACAGCATGTTCCCACTTGTCCTTTGGCATGGCATTTGAGTTCCAGTCCCCTCATGTTTCTTACCATGGCTTCTTCATATACTGTGCTCTAGCCGGGCTCAACTGTCTCCTCACTCCTGATCTTTTGTACATGCTGCCTGACGCTCCCTCTTTAGAACCTCTGTCCAGCACTTGCTTCAAGTCTCAGCCAAGACACACATCATAGATACAGAGACCATTTTGATAGCTGCCAGATTAGGGGGTATTAGGAGGAAGGGTGAAAAAGGTGAAGGGATTAAGAAGTACAAACTGATAGTTACAGAATAATCATGGGGATGTAGCATAGGGAATATAGTCAATAACATTGTAATAACTATTTATGGTATCAGATGTGTACTAGATTTATCGGGGTTATCACTTTATAAGTTATGTAAATGTCTAATCATGGGGTTGTACACCTGAAATTAATATAGTATTGTATGTCAACTGTAATTTAAAAATAAAAATATTTTCAAAATATATTTTTATAGATATTTTTAGAGAGAGAGGAAGGAAGAAGGAGAAAGAGATAGAAACATCAGTGTGAGAGAGAAGCATTCATCAGCTGCCTCCTCCACACCCACCACTGGGGACCAAGCCTGCAACCCCAGGCATGTGCCCTGTGACTGGGAATCGGACCGGGACTTCTCAGTCCATGGGGGCAATGCTCAATCCACTGAGCCACACCGGCCAGGCCAAAAATAAAAAATATTTAAAAATAAAGAACCAAAGGTGCCCTGGCCAGTTTGGCTCAGCGGTTGGAGCATCAGCCTGTGGATCAGAGAGTCCTGGGTTCGGTTCCCACTAGGGGCACGTACCAAAAAAAAAGAACCAAAGGCAAAAGATCTGGATTAACTCTGCCAATGGCCAGGGCATAGGCCTATAAATTTAGAATGGAGTAAAGATGGAGCTTTGCAGTCCTTTGTTTTATCGTGGAGTGACCTAGGCTCAGGTTCCATCTAAACAGCAGAAGCCAGAGGACAGCAAAGTAAAGCTCAAAGAAAAAAATCTTTTTTTTTATCCTTACCTGAGGATATGTTTTTATTGATTTTAGAGAGCGAAGAAGGAGGGAGAGAGGAAGAGGGAGGGAGGGAGGGAGAGAGAGAGAGAGACATACATATATTGATGTGAAAGAGAAACCCATCGGTTGCCTCCCGTACTCACCCCGACTGAAAATCGATCTCAAAACTTAGGTATGTGTCCTTACCCAGAACCTTTTGGTGCACAGGAAGATGCTCCAACCAACTGTGCCACCCGGCTAGGGCAAAGAAAAAACTATTTTAAAAACATAAACTATTAGTTAGGCCTACCATCTGTATGATAACAGACCCCAAAGGGAGAACCTGCCAAGGGTTGTATGTATTGGCAGATGTTTTGTGAGTCCCCTAAAGATTATGAACAAATATTAATAATGACAATAATGGCATCTCACATTTATTGAACACACACTTTTTTCCAGGCATTGTGTTAAATGCTTTAATAGATTCTCCCTCTTACTCTTTATAACAACCTCATGAGGAAATTGACTTATTCTTGCTTTTGCACATGAGGAAACAAGGGCCTTAGAGAAACCAAGTTGCACAAACTCACAGCAGCCAATAAGTAGAGGCATCAGAAGGAAATATGGATGGAGCCATGTCTACCTTCGTGATGGCCATCCTTCCTGGAGGTTTCCAGCTGAGATATGAGCCTGAGCTCATACTGAGGGAGGACTCCCATGAGGCTTTCTCTTAAAGCTAGAGAGTGGGAACTTCACCTCTAGCCCTTGCTCTGCAGAACGTCTTTAAACCTCAGTTTTTGCATCCATAACTACATTTGAGATACAGAAATTGTGTTCACTGCACAGCCAGAATAGCCCAAAACTGCTTCCCATGGAGATGTATGCGACCACAGGCCTTCTTTTTTATTTGTCCTCCCAGAAAACCTATTACACTTCAAAATAGAATTTTAAACTTTTAGAGTTTGGAAAACATTATTTAGACATAAAATTTTGGTTGGTTGTTTTGTTGGTTGGCTGGCTGGCTGGCTGGCTGGTTGGTTGTTTGGTTCATTGGTTGGTCGGTTGGTTGGTTGGTTGGTTGGTTGGTTGGTTGGTTGGTTGGTTTTATAGATCTAGTCTAAACATGATACTGTAAATCTTGAGAACTGTAGAGCCTGTGCTGACCTCAGTCAAAATTATATTTTGTGCCAAGATTCCACACACCCCAACTTTTAACTGAAGTATAACATATAGAAAATTGCCCAAAGTGTACAGCATCTCTACCCCTGTATTAGTTTCTTAGGACTGCCTTAACAAAAGTACCACACCCTGGTGCCTTAAAACAACAGAAATTTATTGTCTCACAATTCTGGAGGCCAGAAGTCTGAAATCAAGGTGGTGGCAGGGCCGTCTCCCTCTGAAGTCCATTGTCAAATCCTCCCTCACCTCTTCCCAGCTCCTGGTGGTTTGCCAGCATTCTGACATTCCTTGGCTTGCAGCTGCAACCCTCCGGGCTGTGTCTTCAATGTCATATGGCACTTTGCCTGCGTGTCTCTGTCTTCACGGGGCCTTCTTCTAAGTTATATTGACTAGGGGCCCACCCTACTCCAGTATGACCTCTTCTTACCTAATTACATCTGTAATGACCCTATTTTCAAATAAGGTCACATTCAGAGGTACTGGAGGTTAGGACTTCAACATATCTTTTAAAAGTGGGCAATTTGACCCCCAAACCCCCCATGTTTTACCTCAGTACACTTTTTTTCTTCACAAGAGTAACAAAGGGTGTCTTTAAGTAATAATAACATCACACCGAATCTGTGTTAATGAGCAAACATTCAGTAACATCCCTTATTTGTTGCCTGGGCACACATGGAACTTTGGGATTTTTGTCTTTGCTTCTAAATACTGCTTTTGATTTTTTATTTTTATCCTCACCCAAGGACATTTTTGCATTTATCCTCAGATGGAGCGAGAAGGAGAGAGGGAGAAGAGAGAGAAACATCGATGTGAGAGAGAGACATCAACTGGCTGCCACCCACACAACCCCAACAGGGCCAGGGACAAACTGCAACCTAGTTATGCGCTCTCAGCAGGAACAGAACCCGGAACTCTTTGGTCTGGAGTCCGATACTCTAACCGCTGAGCCAAACAGGCCAGGGCCTGCTTTTGATTTTTGATTTTTTGTGTCAGTAGACACAATATTCACAATCAGATTCACTCCAGTCATATACCAAGAAGTTTCTCCTAAGCCTTCAGTCAACCTATTTGCACTTTAGTGCTGTTACCTCTTTTATATTACCTTACACAATTTTTTTTTCAGCTCTAACTGCTGAGCCAAACTGGCCAGGCCTCCATTGACTTTTAGATAGAGTGGGAGGGAGGGAGAGAGAGAGAGAGAAACATCGCTGTGAGAGAGGCACACCAATTGGTTGCCACCCACACGACCTCAACCAGGGCCAGGGACCAAACCACAACCGAGGCACATGCCCTTGACCAGAATGGAACCTGAAACTCTTTGATTATATCCAACGCTCTAACCACTGAACAAAAGTGGCAGGGCAGAATAGTATATTTTTAAAGTATCTCTTCCTGCCCTGGCCAGTTTGGCTCAGCTATTGAAGCGTGGGCTCATGGACAAAAGAGTCGCAGGTTCCATTTCAGTCAAGGGCATGTACCTTGGTTGGGGTCGTGCGGAAGGCAACCAATTGGTGTGTGTGTCTCTCTCTCCCCCCTCCCTCCCCTTCCCCCATTCTGTCTGAAGATAAATGGAAAAATATCCTCGGGTAAAAATTAAAAATAATAATAAAATAAAGTATCTTTATAAAATGGACTGGTATGTTGTTGTGTCTTCCTATTGTACTTACCTAAGAAATGGCAAGAGGATTTATACAGGTTACCACAATCAGAAATTTTAAAAGAACATAAATTTAAAAAGTAGTATAAATTATAAAAGACTATTATGAGCCCTGGCCTATCTAACTCAGTGGTAAGAGCGTTGGCCCACAGACTAGAGAGTCCCAGGTTTGGTTCCCACTAAGGGCACATACCTGGGTTGTGGTTTGTCCCCTGTGTAGGTGGTGACCACTCAATGTCTCTCTCTCATATCAATGTTTCTCTCTCTCTCTCTTCCTCTCTCCCTCCCGTTCTATCTGAAGATAAAATGCAATAAAATACCATTGTGAAAAATGTTGAAGAATTTTATAAATAAGAACGTTTTTTCTAAATCATAAATTTTCGTGGTAATGTATTTTTTTCTAAATGATTCAAAAAATAGTCCAGCTGATATGAATAAAGACAAAAAACAAACAACTTGGAAAACTAATAGCATAAACCTTTGCAGTTCTAGAGGGTTTTGACCCCTGAGTCAACAGAGGTCCGGAAGAGTTCTGTGACTTGCTGAAGGTTACACAGTCAGAGGCAGTCAGGACCAACCAGCTGTTGAACAAAAATCAAAGCAAAAGACTTTTATTTTTAGGGTGATGTTTTAATTCTAACCTTAGAAGGAAATACTGTTGGTCCTTAAGTCAAACTGACTATAGTAATGATCTGTTTTGACCTGAGAAGACAGGAATTCTAATGTCAAACATAAAGAGATGGGGGTGGGGTTCAGAATCTTTTGAGCATCATGTAATTTGCTATCTGACTTCAAGTAGTTCACTGGAAGATGCAGTATGTAGGTAGCTATAAAAGCAACTTCAAGGCAAAATGTTATTTATACTGCAGATATACTTCTCCAGCCTCCTCACCTCCCGTAAAACATCTTAAATATCAAAGGCAATTTTTAAATGTTTTTTAATTTGTGTTTTGTAAAGAGGATAGACCAGTAATTAATGTATCAAACTTACTGCTTGGCGCCATATTGAGTCCCAGAAATGACCTGGCATGATGAATGATTCTTCTTCAAAAGGATTAATGAATGTGTAATAAGTTTTCTTTCTTTTTCCAGCCAAGGACCCTTGTCATCCATTAGAGCGGTAATCAAGAGATGTAAGTTTGTTTTTTCCTGCTCTATGTTTTTCTCTGTAATAATTTTAAAGGATGGTTTAGATTTCTAGCAAATGATTGTGTTTGATGAGTCTTACAAGAGGAACTTCTCCTACGGAATAATAAGCCATTTCAGACATGCAGCTAGTTATCCAACTTTCACTTACTGATAAGCCAATTCCTCAGAACATTTTTCTCTTCTAGAACTAAGCTGTTTAAAAAAAAAAAAAAAATCTGGTTTATCTAGTCAGTTTTTATGATCTAGTATAAATTTTATGTAACCATTTCCTATAGGTAGAGACATCTGATAGGTTTGAAAAATACCAAACAAGCCCTGTCCTTTTTTACTTACTTGCTTCCACAGTATTTTTATTTATCTGTAAAAATGCCTATGGAGATTGGCTCACACTTCCACATATAAGATAGAAGTCCTGTAATGGAATTCTCTCCAGAATGATAACAGCAATACTCACTTTACCTCTTGGTTAAAGCTTTAAAACATGCTTTCGGTGTGTAGGATTTTCACATTCTTTTAATAAAGGCTCTGCATAGATCCCTTTTCCAAATAGAACATGGCATACTCATTATTAAAAAAAAGATAACAGCAAGGATTTTGGATGTTCTTCACATTATTTGAGCTGAGATCACTACCCTAAGGAAGAGGTATACCATTTTTAGAAACATAATTTGTAATATTCAGTATGCATTTAGGCTACCACAGGTTGTGAAGAGCATGCATTCGAACTGATTGTAGTGAACAATTTGTAAGATGGCAATACAGAAAGATATTCCACAGTTCTCCGCATTCCATTTTGTTATTGGTGGTGGTGAATTATAAGAATGTGGGAATGCCACAGTTTATGTTGAGGGGAGTTCAGATGTGAAAATAAAAAAATCGTCACAGCTTTAAATGTCTTAGAGCCCTTGGGGTGGGAGTGGGAAGAGAGAAAGGGTAGGGAGATAATTTAAAAAGAAACTAGTCTGGAATTTAGGCAAGAATTTCTTTCTGGTGATACAGTTTGTGGGTAATCAAGGTTATAGGCACAGTCCTGGGACTAGTTAACCATTTAGGGAGAAAGCATAGAGGATAAAGATGACAAAGGACAGAATCTTGGGAAACAGTGATGTCTGGGACCAAGCCGTACCTTTAAGGTGCTGTAGGACAAAAGATGCATGACCCAAAAACCCAGCCCTGCTGAGGAGAGGGCCTCCTTTCACTGAGTCCTGTCTCCTGGTTCTTGCCTTTGTTCTCTGGCTTCTTACCTTTCCTCTCTCTTGGGTTTCAGGACTTCTTTGTTGGGGATTGTATTTGATACAGGACTTCTCATTGATACTTCAAGATGGATATTGCTTACCCCAGGCCCCATACCATGCTAGGCTTAAGGAAAAAGCAGCTAAGGAGGAGTGTGCAAAAACATGCTGAAAGAGTGATCAGCATAAGAGAAAACCTAGGAGCTGGCTCTGTGTTAGAAGTCAAAGGAAGCAAGGTTTTCTAAAAGAATGAGTGAATCGCAAATAGCTCTTCATGTTGCAGCATGATCAGGCACAAGGTGGCTGAGACTAGGTCACTGTATGTGGCACTTTGGAGGTCAGTGGTGACTTCCAAGTGAGCAGTTTAAGTAGAACATTGAACTTGGAAGCCACACTTCAATTAGAACAATGAATGGAATATGTAGAGACTGGGACAGCTGGTGGCGGCTGCTCTTTTCTGAAATGTGGGGGTAAATAGGAGAAGAAAGGGTTAGCTTTAGAAGGGATGAAGGTCAAGCCAGGAGGAGATTTGAACATGTTTACACACTATTTAGGAAGAGGAAGCATGGAGTCCTCTGTAGGCAGCAGGAAAGGAATCAGTGGAGAGATCAGACTGGAGCCAGAGAGAAGAGGAAATTGTTGAAGCAACCCTAGCAGAGACGAAGGAGGAGGTGAAACTATGGAAAAACACTTGCTTTGAGGAACCCTTTTTTTTTTTTATCACTAACCGAGTTGTCTTTTAATTCTTATGTGTTACTTTGTATACACTAAAGAAATATTTGTTGGTTCTATTTATTGCTAATATTAAACAAGAAGGCCAAATAGATCCTCACATGATGCCATGTCAATACAGGATGAAGACTAATTGGGCCACCCCTTCTCTTTTTCTCTTTGCCCATTCCAGAAGAAAACGTCATAAACAATTTTTGTCTTATCCAACCCAGGGAAATGTTTGCTTTACTATCTCAGACTTAATCATCGAACCCTGCCAAGGATAGAGACTTTATCACATTTTTAAGGCAATGTTCCTTAACTAGTTGTATTTTATTTTTATTATTTTTTAATCCTCCCCCCAAGGACATATTTCCACTGATTTTTAGAGAGATAAGAAGGGAGAGGGAGAGAGAGAGACATTGATGTGAAAAACATCAATCAGTTGCCTCCTATACGCACCCCATCCTATATGCACCCCAGCCAGGGATCAAACCTGCAACCTGAGTTTTTACCCCAACTGGAAATCAAAGTCGAGACCTTTTGGTGTACAAGACAATGCTCCAACCAACTGAGCCACACTTGGCAGGGCTAACTGGTTATATTTTAAATTCTTTCAATCAAGCCTTTGAGGTCTTTCTTCTTGCAGTTTATTCTTATGATCCTTAAATATTTTGGGTAAGGATCTTAAAGCATTCTAACTGGATATATCTAGAATTTCATGCTTCCCCTTTCATTAATTTTTTAAAAGAAAATTATTCTCTGAAATTCAGAAATTATTACTATTCATAGCTCACTGTAAGTCAGGAACTGTTCATGTACACTGTAAAATAATGCTCTTCATGGTAGGTGTTGACCTCATTTTACAGATGGTAGGGAAACCAAGCCTCAGCGAGGTTAAATGGCTTCACAAGGAAGAGCATCAATGTGAACCTAGACTTCCTGAATCCGAGGCCGTGAGCTTTCCATTGCATAGGCACTCTTAGCATCATGTCACATGCATCCAGTTCACACCCTGTCTCAAGCAAATGTAGTTAGTTTTTACTATTTTGATTTTCATTGGTAAGGATTATAGAAAGGATGCTTATACTATAATAATCCTTCTGTATATTTATTTCTTCTGACCATCATGTAATTGGTATTTTTGAATTATTTAGAATCAGGACAAGCATCCAGCTGTCCTGGCTCCACAAGAAGTTAAACCACTTCTGGGAACACACTGCTTCATCCGGCCCTTCCTATAATGGGCTGTGTGCCTGGGATAATCAGTGAAACCTCTCTCTCCATCTCCTTACCTGTAAGGCCGGAGTTAGATGGTCACTGGGCCCTTTCATGCTTGTGATCCTAGTGGAGCATAGGCGGAGTCTTTATTAGTACAAATATTGCAAATGCAGATCTTAGTCTTTTATAAACAACTCAATATGAATTTGTTTTGTACTTAGAATGTAACCATATGAGCTAGAAAAGTTTCAGAATAATTCTGTAAAATGAATCAATAACTTTAACTGAAAGCGCTGCCTTTTTTCTGTGGCCTTGATCAAAGTGACGTGAGAGGAGCAGCAGCTTGTGGCAGGGGTGAAGAGGAGCACGTTGGTCTGTATGGGCAGTGCGTTTTCCTGGCAGCAGCTACATCAGATCTGTTTAATCTGGGAAAGTGAGAATGGATTACGTGGACAGTTAAGAAACTAGCAGGAAGAGTGGGAGATACCACATGAAAATCCGCCATGAGCATCTAAAGTGTTTCCAGCTGCTAAACTTGTTCATCACGGACAAAAGTGCCAGTTATTCTATCAGAATCAAGAGAGAAAAGAGATTTCATAGATGAGTGAATGTTAAAAAATAATAATTGGAGCAGGAGAGGGGAAAGCAGTGCTTCTAAAAGGATGTAGAGATCTGTTAGTTTGATTCGGAGACCTCCTCGCCCCTCGTTCGGCTCCTTCCAGAGCGGGAATGCCACTCTGCTAACCAGGGGGACCTGGTACTAATGCCCTCTGGTGTGAAAGGGCAGAATCAAGTGAAAAGCCACTGATTTAAAAGGATGTAAATTGACTACTGAATTCCTTTTTAGATATCATTTATACTTTAATATTGATTCCTACTGAAGTAGCAAATTGATTTTACAAAATTATTTTTAGATCTTTTTTGCACTGTTGCTAAAAACTATAGGTAGATTTTTTTTTTTTTTAGTGTGGTTATGTATGTGAATGTCTGCTCTGTACAGACATGTCTTTACCACAGTGTACTTCTTTACTCCTAAAACTGTGGTTTATCAACTTTTTCTTTCTGTAGATGTATGCAGAGTGGCATGGCAAGGCAGTCTTGCTCTCGAATTCCTTTTAGAGCATAGGGAACTGGATTCTCTCTTTTTTTCTCCCTTTCCTCTTCTATAACCCCTTCTTTTTTTCTCTTAGCACTCATGAATAGTGCACAGCAAAAATGCCCCGTGGAAGAGGTATGTTTGTGACAATAAATAACGTGATGTCTTGTACCAGTGCTATGTCTGCTGATTCTGGCTGTAGTGGTGATGGTCATGTGATTGTAGCACACTCAATATGCCTCTGACTGAAGGAACCCATTCCTACGAATCAGACGCACCACTCCGAGCTTTGGCCTCTCTGTCCTTTTATTCCAATAGACAAAATGCACCACAGCATGGTTTAAGTCACACTAGTTGATGATACGACATCCTACAACTTGAGATCCAAGGGTTTTGGTTCCAAATGTTGGGTTTGCTTTGCCAACCCGGAATAGATTCAGCTGTCACAGCTTCTGTCCCAGCCTCCGTTTCACTCCCACCTCCGCCCCGGCCTCCCCAGCTGTGTCAGCCTCCTTGTATAGAGAGAATCAGAAGTTACTAGGAGACAAAAAAAGAAAAGATTTGTATCTTCAACCTTTACAAATCAGAAGAACTGAAAAATTAGAATACTGGAGCGATATGAGGGCAACTGGTAGAAATAGTTGGTATTGGAAACAAATTTCTGTTTGAGACCCTATATGTGACATATTGTTCAGATTGTTGGATAAAGAAGTAGTTTAACTTTAAAATAAAATTTGGAAAAAATAAAATAAATAAAATAAAATTTTGACAAATTTAAATGATCTAGCTGTTTAAGTTTGAAGCTTGAAAAGTTAGTACTGCATATATATTATATGGTATAAACATGTTTATAAAAGTGATTTGAACAGTTTTTCTACTTATCTCTTAATTTAAGTACTAAAACAACTTAAAGATTATAAAACTTCAGCAAAGTAGAAAGTAGATGAAAATTTGACCATCTTGATTCTCTTTACAATAGAGTTATAAACAAACATTACAAAAGTATAGTCATGGATCAGAATAGATATTTAACAAATTTCTCTGCCCATTGATATTTCGTGTCATAATATCATGCAGTTTCTATTTATAGCTGTCTTTTTTCTCTTTCTCTTTCTCATTTTCTTTTTTCTCATTCTGTAACTTATTTTCAGAACTGCAGAATGTGCTTTGGAGAGTTTTTTAAATCTATGCTTTTATGAATTCAAATATATACTATAATTAATTTTATACCATATGAAAAGATAATTTTGATTTGCTTTTCTACTATGGATGTTAAAATCCATACCTTCTATATGATGTCAAGTATAAGCTAAATTAAAAAAATAATAATATACCCTATAAAAATTTAAACCTTCATTGAATATACTAATTTTGTACTATATCAATGTATTCTTTCTTTTATAGCTTCTCGGACTTCTATTCAGAGTGAGCTTCATCGAGATAGGAGGTATGGTTATATTTATAATAGAGGGCATATATTCTGCTATTAATGAAATAAAAGTGTGTTATTAGTTAGCAAGTTAAATATTTCTCTTTCATTAGCAGTGTATTATAAAGTTCTGCCTCATCAATACATTTCCTGAATTAATCTATACATTTGAATTATGAAGACTTTGCTTGAGGGAAGAAGCAATACAAGCCTGAAAGTATTCTTTTGACAGTAATTATTTACTGACATCAATTTGAAAATGTTTATTAAGCAACTGCTTCATATAAAGTATTATTCAACCTGCTTCAAAGAAGTGCTTTGGCCCGGCCAGTGTGGCTCACTGGTTGAGAATGCACGAGGAGGTCGCTGGTTCAGTTCCCAGTTAGGGCACATGCCCACGTTGTGGGCCAAATCTCTGGGGGAGGCAGGCTAGAGGCAGCCAGTCGATGTTCTCTCTCATTGATGTTTCTTTCTTTCTCTCCCTCTCCCTTCCTTTCTCTCTAAAAAATTAATTAAAAAGAAGAAAAAATAATTTTAAAAAGTGTTTTGTACCTCATAGCTATTTACTGAATGTTGCATAGATAAATGGATGGGTGACAGGATAGAAAAATGGAAGGATAAAGAAAGGAAAAGAGGCAGGCAGTCTGGATAGATAGCTGAATGCATAAGTGGCTAGATGGCTGATGGAGAAAGGGAAGGAGAGGAGGAGGGAGGATGAGTCACTGGATACATAGAAGGAAGGACAAATAGACAGAAGGCTGAATGGATGGAAAGGTTGATGGGTAGATGAATGGATGGATGGATTTTTATAAGACATCCTCCCTGTTTTCAAATTTCTTATAGTATAGAATCAGGGAGTGAAGAACAAGTACTTCATAGTGAGTCATTACCCAAGTTCAAATTTTGACTGTCACCATGTGACCTTGGGCAAGCTACTTAGCTCTTCTTAGCTTCACTATGCCCATCGTTAAAGTGGTACAAACCAGACCTACCTTACGAGGTTGTCATACAGATTAATGCATATAGAATGGTTAACATTTATTAATTAGTAATCATTATTTACTTAGACAAAAGCTATAAGCAGAGGTTCTTAGTAATACCATTGAAATTTAATCAATGAGCACGGTCCACCATTTCACAAGCTGGTATGAATGTGTGTCTATGCATAGTTTTGATAATGATAGTGCTTGTTTTGTTTTTATTTTGCATAGAGTACTAGAGAAAGGAAGAGTGGGTATCATCATTTCTATTTATTAGAACAGAAAATTGAGTCTCAGAGAGGTTGATTGACTCAAAATCATACAGTTAATGTTTGTTAGGAAATCAGGTTGAAGGTAAGATTTAAACATGAAACTGTAGAATCTGGTTAAGAAAATGATGAAAGAAGTCATGCCTAAATCATTATGGCTCCTCAGTGTTAAAGATTCATCAAATTCATATACAAAACTAGCCAGGAACACAGACACATTAGTCAGGTTCTAGAAATGAACACATGAACTCTAAACACTTAGAGATAACTTTGAACTAGAACAGAGAGGTGGGAGAGGAGGAAAAGGGTATTTTGTTTATATGGTATCATTTCTGAGTCTATACTTCATAATAACAGAAAACTAAACAATTCTATTTGACCAATGCACTTTTCTTTTTTTATTTATTTGTTTAATCCTCACCTGAGGACATTTTTTTGCATTTATCTTCAGATAGAGCGGGAGGGGGTGGGGAGAGAGAGAGAAACATCGATGTGAGAGAGACACATCGACTGGCTGCCACCCACACAACCCCAACTGGGGCTGGGGACAAACCGCAACCAAGGTATATGCCCCTAGCGGGAACCGAACCTGGGACTCTCCAGTCCACAGGCTGACGCTCTAACTGCTGAGCCAAACTGGCCAGGGTTGACCAGTGCACTTTTCTACCTTACAATGTATTTATGTTTGTGCTGTAGGCTAGATCGCAGAGCCCTTGAATTAAAAGCTTGTATAGGCTTTACTTAGTACATATTCTTGTCAACCAAGGCAGAGCTATGTGTGCTTAGGGTTCATCTCTAACTTTTTGAGGCCAAAATCATAGAGGATGACTGCCATTTGATCCTTTGAAGCCTGCCTAGGTGTACTGTTAGAGAGATAGCCCAGGCCAGACAGGTCATTTCTGTGACTATGGTGGTTCTTATGTAACTTTTTGGGTGGTAGTTGTTTTCATGAATCTTTGAACATTTGCATATAGACAATAGCTTGTTACCAACCTGCTAAACCTCACTGAGGCTTCTATCTGCTAGGCGCCCGGAGATCACCATTGTGGCAGCTGAGCCACTGAGGCCAGCCTCATGGTTTCCAGGAGCCCCACCCCCAGCACTAGGATTTCCCCCGTCCTCTGCAGCAGGCCCTTGGAGGCCCGGTGAGCTGGTTCCTGCTGAGGTGAATAAATACATTATCTCTTTGCATTTTATTTTTTAAATGAAGTTCAAAGATTAGAATAGTGTGATTATTAACATGTTGGTTGTTGCCCATAGATGTCTAAAATCTTCATTCTTTTTCTTACAGCTCCCACCATCTTATGAACAAGTCATAAAAGAAATCAACCAAGTTCAAGTTAATACGACAAATAATAATAATGCTGCTGCTTCTCCCAGGCACACTATTACTTCTGCAACTCAGACGGACTTTTCAGAAGACATAGACAACCATCTGCCTCAAAGTAATGCAAGTAATTTGTCTTCCCTAATTCTGACCTAGTTCTAGGAAAGTAATCAGTAGGCTCTAGCCTTTAAAATAATTTTTAATTTGTACCTAATTGATTGAGCTCTGCTTCCCAGTCAGTGTGATCTGGTGTGCTTTCTTTATTATTTGGGTTTGCTGTGATTACAATGGTTCATTCTCAAGACCTGAAGCCCCAGTCTCTTAGAGTCACTCTAGTTCATATCACAAAAACATGATTGTTTTAATTCATGGTTGGTATTACTACTGATGCCCTTTGTTCCCATCGAGGAGGACATTATATTTAGCAATTTAAACTTGATAGGATGCTAGAGGTGGTTGTCCTGTTGGGCTTTTTTTTTTTTTTATCTTATTTTTGAAAGTATTACAGATATCCCTCCTTTTTTCCCCCATTGAGACCCTCTTCCCTGTTCCCACCACCCCAACCCCCATCCCACTGCCATTAGGCTTTTTAAAAGCATTGAATTAGGATGACAGATGAAAGTAAGTTATTTTGCTAGAACAAATACTTCAAAAGTTCATATGGAACCAAAAAAGATTCCAAATAGCCACAACAATCTTTACAAAGGACAAAGTAGATGAGATCACAGTACCAGATATCAGGTTATACTACAGAGCTACTGTAATCAAAACAGCCTGGTATTGGCAAAAGAACAGGCATATAGACCAGTGGAACAGAACAGAGAATCCAGAAATTGACCCAAGACATTATGCTCAATTAATATTTGACAAAGGAGTCAACAGTATACAATGGAGTAAAGACAGCCTCTTTAATAAATGGTGTTGGGAAAATTGGACAGCTACACGCAAAAAACTGAAACTAGACCATCAACTTACACCATACACAAGAACAAACTCAAAATGGATAAAAGACTTAAATGTGACCCATGAATCCATAAAAATCCTAGAAGAAATGTAGGCAACAAAATTTCAGACATCATGCGCAGCAGAATTTTCACTGATACATCACCTAAAGCAACAGAAACAAAGGAGAAAATGAACACATGGGACTACATCAAACTCAAAAGCTTCTGCACAGCAAAAGAAACAACCATCAAAATGGAAAGGCAACCCACTGTATGGGAGAGCATAATTGCCAATGATACATCAGATAAGGGGTTAATTCCAAAATATATAGAGTACTTATACAACTCACCAAAAGGAAGACAAAGAACCCAATTAAAAAATGGGCAGAGGAACTAAATAGACACCTCTCCAAACAGGACATACAAATGGCCAAGAGACTTATGAAGAAATGCTCAACATCACTAATCATCAGAGAGATGCTAATGAAAACAACTATGAGGCATCACCTCACATGTCAGAATGGCTGCCATCAACAAATCATCAAACAACAAGTGCTGGCGAGGGTGTGGAGAAAAGGGGACTCTAGTACACTGCTGGTGGGAATGCAGACTGGTGCAGCTATTGCGGAAAACAATATGGTGTTACCTCAAAACATTAAAAATTGAACTTCCATTTGACTCAGTGATCCCACTTCTAGGAATATACCCTAAGAAGTCTGAAACACCAATCAGAAAGAATATATGTACCCCCATGTTCATAGCAGTGCTATTTACAATTGCTAAGATCTGGAAACAGCCCAAGTGTCCATCAGTAGACAAATGGATAAAAAAGCAGTGGTACATATACACAATGGAGTACTATGCAGCAGTAAGAAAGAAAGATCTCTTATCCTTTGAGAAGACATGGAGGGACCTGGAAAGTGTTATCCTAAGCGAAACAAGCCAAGCAGAAAAAGACAAATACCACATCATCTCACTTATTTGTGGAATATAATGAACATAACAGTCTGAGGAATAGGGTAGACCCAGAAACATGGAAGTAGGGTACAGACTGACAACCCTCAGAAGAAAGGGTCTGGGGGAGAGATAAACCACAGAACTTATATGCATGTACGCACAACCAATGGACATGGACAACAAAGCCGGGGACGGGGTGGGGGAATAGGAAAGAGGGTGTCAACGGGGAAAAAAAGGAGAAACATCTGTAACAAAAATAAAATAATAATTAAAATTTTTTTAAAAGTAAGTTACTTTGGAAAAGTAAAGCAAGAATTGCTGGAATTTTGACAGCAAGAGATAAATGGTTCATGTGATAAGTCTACTGAGAATAAAAAATTTGATGGGCCTGGGCAGTGTTGCTCAGTGGTTGAGCATCTACCCATTCACCAAGAGGTTGCCAGTTAGATTTCTGGTCAGGGCACATGCCCAGGTTGTGGGTCAAATCCCCAGTGGAGGCATGCGGGAGGCAGCCAATCAATGTTCTCTCTCATTGATGTTTCCGTTTTTTTTTTTATCCTCACCTGAGGACGTTCTTCCTTTTTTTGTTCAGATAGAGTGGGAGGGAGAGAGAGGAAGAGAGAGAGAGAGAAACATCGACGTGAAAGGGACACATCGAGTGGCTGCCACCCGCACGACCAGCCAGGGACAAACTGCAACCGAGTTACGGACCCTTAGCGGGAATTGAACCCAGGTCTCTCTGGACCGCAGGCTGATGCTCTAACCGCTGAGCCAAACTGGCCAGGGCTCTCACTGATGTTTCTCTCTCTCTCCCTCTCCCTTCCTATTTCTCTGAAGTCAATAAATTTAAAACAAATTTTTGATGGTGTTTTAAAATACTATGTAATGAAGATATGTCTTATATGATTAAATATAACTTGAACACTCCTGTAGGAAGCTGAATATAAACATTTCCACATTGCTTTTGGAATTACTGTTTACTAATTAAGGAAACCAAATTCTCTTTGTATTCTACATGTGTATCTTTAAAAATCTATGTATCTTCTATTATGTTTTTCTTTTAAATTATAATGTTGCAACTTCTTGTTTGTTTTTGTCTTATCAGCATTACAGGCACCTCTCAAACCTCTACAGCCTTCCCCAGGGGTCTCAGCCAGTGATCTTCCCACAAATGTGGCACCTTTAATTGTCTTTGACATTTCTGAGGAACAGAATTGTCCAGAAAACTCTAATGCTACAAGATGTCCAGTGCCAAGACCAAGATCAAAAGGCAACCTCAGACCAGTAGCCAGAAATACTCACAGTAAAGAGCAGAATCATCAGAAAATCAACCCAGCAGCCACAGAAGAGGAGTCACCCCCAAGCAGAACCCAGTGTCTGTTGGATAATACCAACGACTTCGATAGTCAGACAGTGATGAACATCATGAACACAGAACGAAGCCAAAATAGTATTGTTTCAAGGGTCAAAGCATTTGATAGTCAGACAAATACAGAAACCTCTGCACTGCCCAAGAAACCAGAGATCGCTCCTCGAGCACTCCCCCCACGGCCTGCTGTTCCCTCGGGGAAGCCCTCTGTGGCTCCCAAACCAGCTGCTAACAGAGCTCCTGGAGAATTGGACTCCTGGAATGAAAACAGACGTAAGGGGGCCGCTGGAGAAGGGCTTACCCCGCACTCTCTACCACAAGAAGTGGGGAGCATCTCCGTAACCAAACCTGAATTGCCAAAGAAACCAAACCCTGGCTTTACACGGAGTGTTAATCATGAGATTCTGGGAGGAGAGCCCGTGGTGGAGAGCCCTGATGGCGGGAAGAGAGTCCCGACTCCTGCTCCTCGACCTCTGCTGCTGAAGAAATCCGTTTCCTCGGAAAACCCCACCTGCCCTGCAGCTTTGCTAAAACCAGTCACCATTCCTCCCCGACTCTCAGTGGCATCACAAGCCAAAGCATTCAGGTCACTGGGCGAAGGGCCCTCAACCAACCCCCCAGTCCCAGGTCTGCAAAGCAAGCCTCTTGGGGACATTGACCTCATCAGCTTTGATGATGATATCTTACCCACCCCATTTGGGAACATGGTTGAAGACTCTGTTGGTTCGGAGATGGTTCTGGGTGAGTAAAAGTCAGAAGTGAAGGGGAATCTAAACTCATCAAAGGGTCTCTTGAGTGGTACTTGCTGTTTTTGTTTCCAGTATGTAGGTCATTGAGGTGTGCATGTGGATGTGTAGAGACTGGGCGAAACACAGAGAGATTAAGCTGGGTGGGAGATGGAAATCTAGAGGGAAGGGAAAATATGGAATGGGGAGATGGAGACAGAGAGAGAGGGAGACACACATTGATTCCTATTATCCAAGCCAGGAACGAGCAGCCTGGGACTAGGGAGTAAACAGATGTGAGGCTGGCTTCCTTACTCTGGCAGGTGGACATCCAAGCGTTAGAAGGAATCAGGGGAAACTTCTCCTAAATGGGAAGCCATGCAGTGGGCCCAGAGGGCTCCTCAGATTGAACCAGCCCAGCTGGGAGAGCCTGGAGTGGGGCCAGCCCTGGGGAGGACTCTGGTGAGAGCAATGCAAGAAGTGAGGACCCAGCCATATGTTGCAAATTTTTCCCCCATAATATTTATATAACCTCTTCCCTTGAGAATGCAAAGTTTTGTAAATAAATACAACAGTTTTAAGTTTCCTGCCAAGATCAGGACAATTAAATTTCCCAAGAGGCAGAGAATATGTTTTTTTTCCTCACACTGTTCAGCTGGAGGGTGTGATGGTGAAGCTTATCTTTGATTTGTCAACCTAAGCCGCTCTACTTGTCATTAATAAGATTTCTTTTACTGCTGTTTACTTATTTGGGGAGAATTTTTGATCATATAAGCTTAAGAGTGTTTTCAAAAGGTTAGCTGTCATCTTAAAAATGTTTAACATGCATCAGTGGTATAAGCTCTGTGATTCAAAACCAGCTTCTGCACAGCACAGGTGTATTTTAAATGATAACAAATACATGTTTACTAAATATTTGTCATGCACACAACATGATAACTGGCTGTACCATGCCTCTTTTTTATAGGGAGTGAAAGGAAAAATATTAGAATACACTGAGTTTCTGCAGTGTTCCAAACCCTCTGCTAGATAACCTGACATCCATTATTTAATTGAATACTTATGATAATCCTCTGCAAGGTGTCATTAACCTCAATTTTCAGATGAAGAAAATGAGACTTAGAGAGATCAATGGGTAACTTGCCCAGTGTCATAAAACTACAACTTTCCCAGGTAGATTCAAACTTAATCTTTTTATTCTTTAAAAAAATTGTTTAATTTTAATTTATTGATTTTAGAGAAGAAGGGAAAGAGAGAGAGAGAAACATCAATTTGTTGTTCCACTTAATTATGCATTTATTGGTTGATTCTTGTATATGCCTTTACTGGGGATCAAACCTGCAACCTTAGTGTATCAGGATGGCTCTAACCAACTGAGCTACCCAGCCAGGGCACTCAATCTTTTTATTCTAAGTCTAGTTTATTTTTCACTATATCATGTTTGCTATTCAACATTTTCTTGAAGCCTTAAACCAGTCAACACATTAAAGACTTTTCAAGTCTTGGTTATACCATTTTCTTATTTAAAGCATTTTGGTGTTACAAGGTTCAGGATAGGACAGGGATGGGTAAATCCTATGGCAGCAAGCTGTTTAAGGGGTGAAAACTGTATAAGCCAAAGAAATATTACCTTTTGTAGAACCTTCTGGATTCTGTGGGGATGGCAGTTAATAATTGCTGAGACTATATTCTATATCATTAAGCAGATAATTACAGACACTTCAAAAAAGAAAGGTCAACAATATACATTCGACATGAGTACAGTCTCATGCGTCATCCTCAGCCTTTTCTGTTTCTTGATTTCTACTACTTCATTGCACACCATTTAGTTATTGAGGCAGTCTTTTAGCAAAATGTGTAACTTGCTTGCCCTACCTGACTTTAACCATTGCTCTTGACTGTGGAGTTATACTGAACTGAACACTTTGTTCTTTTTAAACCTGTTCCTCTTCCTATATTCTGCTCCTCACTTGGTGATACTGTCACACACCCAACTTGCCTTAGAGAATCCTAGAGATCATCCTTGAATCTTTCTACATGTCACAGAGTGGCTAGTTGTTTGGACTTGGAGTCAGACTGGCCTGGGTCTACCACTTAATTGGTATATGACCTTGGGCAATTTACTTAACCCCACAGTGCCTTGGTTTCCTCATCTATAAAACACAATAATAATACTCCTCATGGAGGTATTGCAAGGTTACATGTGATTATGAAGAAAAGCCCTATCACATGGTCTGAAACATGGTAAGTGCTCATTAAGTAGTAGTTGTTACTTCTTGCCTTGCACATCCAATTAGTTGCCAACTCCTGCTGCTTTACCTTCTGAATAGTTCTTGAATCTTCCTCTCGTTTCCATCCCTCCTGCACCTGCCTCACTTTAGGCCTTTCTGCCCAGATGAAGGCAGTGGCCTCCTAAATTGAGCCCCTCCTCCTTCCTCAAACACAGCATCATCCATGTTATGGCGACCGAAGCAATTTTTCTGGAGTGTACAATGGACCTTGTTGCTTCTTTGCTTATTGCCCTCTGGAGGCCTTCAGGATCATCTCTGAATTCCTCAACATGTAGAGGGGTGGTGGGTTGTTTTTTTTTATTTGGGCTTTGTGATTTTTTGATGGTATATCAAGAGCACTATCTTTGTAAATAAAGAATTATGGTCTCTTTGTGAAACCTTGCTTAGTCATCCTGGCCTCAGCCAGAAACAGAAAAACACAGGAGAAAGGAGAGAAACTCACAAAAATGTCTTTCCTTCTCTTTCTCTTTCCTGAAAAATAAAGAAAATCTAATAAAATAGTTTTCATAAAATGAAGTTGCCACATTCATCTCAGGAAATAGAGATCAGAAAATACTGAAGCTATGAAAACATTATAAAGATTAGAAAATTTATTAAAGAAAAACTCATAAAACAGGCAATTTAATATTGGATTCATTTCATGGGTAGAATGCCTTCCAGGTTAATATAATGGAGCTGAGAAGTATTAGCAATTCCTCTTCACACCTTTATAAATCATATCCAGTTGTCAAAAAAAGCAGAATACTTCTGCTGTCAGCCCCATTACACAGACCAGAATAATAGTTTAGCAGCCAATTTCTACTATTAACAGAACTCAAGGGAAAGAAATGACAGAAATGCAAGCCAGGGATGGTGGAACTAATTATGATGGCAAGCATATTATTATAGACAGGTAATGGGTTGAAAGCTATATCATCATCAGTGTTTTTCTCCACCCGGTAATGAAGAGCATGAGGATATAGGTATAAAGGGGCCTGCTAGTTTGGCAGCAGGTGGAGAATAATTGGCTATGTGTGTGAGGGGCTAGAAGGAGGGCAGAATAAACACTGCAAATAAAAGTGGAGGAAAATGCCATTGACTTTCCTGAGATTTAGATAGGAGATTCTTTTGGAGATGCTTTGTGTTTGTTCTGTGGAAGCCAGAGCAGTCTGTGATGGAGAGACTTGTGGCAATGCACTTCTTAACCCTTTCTGGATCACAGATCTCGGAAAACCTGATTAGCCTGCAAATCTCTCTCCCTTGAAAACAGCCCCTTAACTCATGTATGCATACTTGGAGGCATGCTTTCCAGAACTTCAATGGCCTATTCTTGCACCCCAGATTAAGGACTTCAGAATGTTAGAAATAACTTTCAGTGGACTGTTTAAATAAATCATGGTGCATCCATACAATAGAGTATCTTGTGGTGATTAAAAAGGAGGCAGACCACTTATAATCTCCTGCCATGGACCAGCCTCCAAGATATTAGGTGAAAAATGCAAGTTACAGATAGTATTCATGGTATTTTAGCTGCTGTTGGTGTTAAAATGCATACATACTCACAAATATGCAATGTCTTTGGGGAAATGTATAAAAAATCCGTAACAAAGATTGTCTTTTTTTTAATCCTCACTTGAGGATGCTCTTCCATTTATCTTCAGGTAGAGTGGGAAAAAGGGAAGGAGGGAGAGAGGGAGGGAGGGAGAGAGAGAGAGAGAGAGAAACATCTACGTGAGGATGTGAGAGAGACACATCAACCAGTTGCCTCCTGCACAGGACCAGGGCAGGGGACGGAACCACAACCGTGGTACGTGCCCTCGACCAGAATCGAACCCGTGACTCTTTGGTCTGCGGGCCCATGTTCCAACCGCTTAGCCAGACCAGCCATGGCCAAAGGTTGTCTTTTATAAAGGAAGTGGGTAGGCAGGAGAGGATGTGGAAACCTGGTTTTCAAATAGCTGAACATAGCAGAATTAAGATGAAAGGAAATGGGAGTTACCTCTTGTTTTTGCCACAGAAAGGGATCTGTTTCCCACACTGATCTTTCAGCCTAATGAAAATTAGAAATTTTTCAAATAATACAGTTTTTTTAAAGTTATGTTTTTCAAGGTTACAAATAAAAGTTAGTTATTATGGACTAAATCTATCTAAATTAGACAAATTCAAAAATACATATCTGCATTATTTCCTATTAAATAGAATCACTGAGAAATAGTATCAAAAGGAGAGTTTTTATTTCCCTAGTTACTTTGTGGAAAATTTCATGGCCATTATTGCCTTGAAAAAGGAACAAAAGGGACAAGAATTTTCACTTTGTTCTTCTTATTTTTAACTGGTTTAAAATTTAAAACCATTTAAATTTTGTGGGGTTTTTTTTTGTTTGTTTTTTTTTGACAGGGGTGTTCATCTGAAAACTTTTTTCTTGATATCAAATTTATTTTATTGGATTTTTTAAAGTTACAAAGTAACATATTTGCTGTAATAATTCAAGCAGTATAAACATTTAGTGACATAAACAAATCAGTCTCTCTCCAGCCCATCTAAATCCCCAGAGTAACCAGTGAGAACAATATCATATGTAGCCTTCTGTGCCTTTAGACATTCCAAACTAAAGCTTATAAGCACGTATACATACAGGTACTTTTTCCTACTTAAAAAAAATTTTTTTAACATACTATACCCATCACTCAGCAGCTCATTTTTTCATTTAACAGCAAGACTCATGGACTTCTCTTCAGACCAGTAG